CCAAATGCGATCTAAAATGACAAACAGATTTACCTAACAGTAGTTTGCTTTTTAAGAATTGGACACCACTTTACATCACTTCAGAATTATCCCAATAGGGCATAATGAAGATTTTCCATGTTTCCAAAGCATGTTAAAGCATTTCGGATTAAATGTCTGCTACACATCTAATCATCAAATCTCAACTGTTTGATTGCGTTATTGATTAATTCTCACCTGGAACTGTGATGTTGGTTATTGTTGTATAGCTCCCTGTGTCTGGCTTTGGTAAGTTAGTTACAAAAACCTGGTATTTAAAGTCGGGGGATGAGCACAATTCTGTCCAAAGAAAATGTCCACTAAAAAGATGAAGGAAAGAGGCAAAGCTGAAACAATGGTGTGAATAACACTGCATAGTACATTATAAAAAAAAAAAATTCTGTAAATAAAGATTATTGAAGTATGTTTCTACTATGTATTTTTACTTCAAAATTTCATGTTTAATTCAATGCGTTGCTTGCTATTTTTTGCATTAGTGAAATTTACTAGCAATTTATGAGTGAAAATTGTTTCAAAGTACACTTTTTCAGTGGATATATGATTATATAAGTAATAGTACTCTTACCCTGCCCAGTCCTGGGTTTGTTGTACACGATAGTGTGTTATGGAAAATGTAACGAACACAAACGCTGTGATTTGTCGACATTTCAACCACAAGCACTTCAGTCCCTATGAGAGTCAATATACTCCCTGAGGAAAATAATTTTATTTAATAAATGCTTTAAATAGATAATTATGCTGACCATCTGTACAGGTTCTGTTAGAGGAAGAACATTTCCGGTCAAAAAGGCAATTTGATTGAAATTATTTGGTTATTTTTAAATAATTTATAGTCCTGTGCATAGCTATACGTTATCATACTTGTCTTACCATCCGGTAACTGGCTCCATGTAATGTATAGGACTGGTGCAAACTGTCCACTGTCATCTTTCTTGGCTGCTACCTTTGCAGTTACATCAGGAAACCCTGGGGCTTTGTATCTTGGCACCACCAAACCCTCATCTGAACAGTTACCTAAGACCATCAAAGAAACATGTCTTTGATTTTGTCTTTAAAACTCATATTACTGTCAATTTAAAGAAGACATCAACTAATACTTGCCTACTTCAATCTTGCATTTTACTCCCTGTCAGAAAACAGCATAATGAAAAATGTTGTTGTCAGTGTCAATGGCTAAAAGGGAACAAACAGCATCTTTACCTCTTGAGAACATTCCATCGGAGGGAGTTCAATGAGATGCAGGGGTGAGATTTTCATTATGACACATGAAAGCAGAGAGAAAAGAGAGACAAAAATCACACCCATCGTATTTAATGTTTTCTCTGGTACTGTGACAATTACTGCTGCTTTTTAAGTGACGTGACAGATCATCGAACATCCTCTCATGGCTTTCTTAGATTCTATCTGTATTTAGAGGAAACCACGGGATCTGATAAAGGGGAGGAGGTGAGCCTGACGCACATGAAGATATAAAGCTTTTCTCACGAACATTGTCTTTTTATTCAAGTCTATCTTAAAATCAAGTCCTTTAACTACACATGCAACGAATTCAGCTAAAAAAGTTTCTATTCTCAGCTATTTGTCAAACTGTTATATTTAATACTAAGTTGGACGTTAGACTCAAAGTTTTAATAGCAATTTGGTTTTGAGATGTAAGATGATCTACTTGTTTCATTTTCTGAAACACAGGACTAGATAAATTTAGGTTATACTTCACCAGAAAGCAATTTTAACAAGCAAAGTTTGACATTTAAACAAATCCATTCATAATATTATATATATATATATATATATATATATACTGTATATAAAATAAATGCTATTTTTTTTAGCTTTCTATTTGCCAAAAATCATACAAATAAAAAAAAAATTATCACAGATTCCACAAAAATATACACTCTAAAAAATGTTAGCTCAAAAAAAAAATTTAATGCAACAGTTCTGACAGCTTCTAATGAAATTATGTTCAACCAGCAAACTACATTGAGTTAGAAGAACTTAATCATTTGTAACATAAGCACACATTTTTATGCTGATTACTCAAAAATAAAGTTGCTCCAACTAAGGGATTTGTGGGCCCGGAACCAATTTATATTTTATTTTTTCAGTTCAAATCCACAGCTATGATAACATGCTAAATGTAACTTTTTTTTAGCATGTACATTTAATGAACAAGAGTAAGAATAAGATGTTACCTGTCACTGGCAGTTAGCACAGAGTTGTGTTTACCTTCATGTGGTCTACTCTTCAGCACAATGGTAACCACAAAGACTTCAACACAACAGAAACTCTTTTAAATGTCAAACATAACAGCATTAAAGACTAGCATGTTTTTCCCTTCACTTTCCCATTTCAACATTTACTCTCCTTATCAAGTCAGATGCAAAGCATGCTGGGAACTAGAAATCCACTACCCAATTTCCAAAGTTAACAAAACAACTTCATTTTTTTACTTTTAAATTACACACAATATTAAGTTAATGTAACGATCAACATTACTATGTCAACTGAACTCTACAAAATAATGTTTGCAACTTAAAAGGTTTAATTAAATTAATAAATTAAAAATGTTAACTTTCAACCATGCATTTATTTAAGTTGTGGTAACAGGTCTCCTGAATCATTTTAAGAGTATAGTAATGGGACAAAAACATTAAAACCCATTATAATCGAGGCATTTGTTGCATCCAATGGGGACTTAATTATGTAATTATATAATTATGTAATCTTTTTACGCGTTATACAGATCTTCTTTATGCACCAAGAGCTTGTAACACTCCAAAGAGAAAGGAAAAATTGAAATCGCATCATATGACCCCTTTAAAACAGAAAACAGTTCAACTGTAATATAATTTCAAAATATTACTGCTTCAACTAACTGTATTTTTTATCAAATGAATCATGCAGCTTTAGAAAAAAAACTTTTGAATGGTAGTATAAAAGAACTATAAAGAATAATAAACAATTGTTCACAACCGCAAATGACCAGCAAGACGTCTAAAAGGCAAAAAAATCACCTCATTACCACTAGAGGGCCCATGTCAGTTCAACGAATAATTAACAGGGTAATTTGGATCAATATATGAGCAATATATTTACTTTCTATATCTCTTCAAACAGCAGTTGTGTCTTACATTCTAGTAAATGTTATTTTCATACAAAATTGTAACACCATTAGCCAGAGACTTTAAACACACGTCACCCTACAGAATCATAGTTTCATTACAGATCACACTTTTATTGCACAGCAAACTTCCACTAAAATGACTTCACAAGGTCTGCTGACATTGATAACTACCACTACATGCCAGCAGTCAGCAGAGGATTTGAGAAGCGCTTGCAAAACCCGTCTCATCCTGTCACACAGTAAAAACTCATGGCACAGTATCATCACTGGAAGCTGAAATTAGTCACATGCTGGGCCTACATGACATATCAGCACACAAAGGTCAACATCACTTTATATCTCATAAAAATACTACCATGTCACATCGTCATTGAGCGCTTTGCCATTATGTTCACGTAAGTTGCTTTTTGTGGCCTAGAATGAGATTTAAGTGCACTATAATCATACGACCTTGTTCGAATTATAATTAAAACCTTCAGACTTTTAGGACGGTGCTATCAGTCCCTTCTAAACAAGTACACATGAGTTACTGTCTGCCCTCACTCCATTTACACAGCACGTGGCCTCCATAGCCTTGAAGAACTCTGCTTTTATGGTCCTCAAACACAAGAACGCAGGTTAATGAAAAGGCAAGTTAACTTTTGCATTTACGAGGAGAACATTTTATTACAATTGCTGAATGAACAAATCATATATGTTAACAAAATAAGCTTATTTTATGAATTCACAAAGTTACAGTGCAATTAAATTAAATTAAATTAAACACTTTACTATAAGGTCCCATTAGATAACACTAATTAATGAATTAACTAACAATGAGCAATACATTTGTTACAGTATTTATTAATCTTTGTTGGCACTAGTAAATAAAAATACAACTGTAATTGTAAGCTCAGTTACCCCAGCTCCATTAAATAATATTAATATAAATACTTTGATTTTAATAACGTATTAGAAAATCTTGAAACAAACATTAAATAAGATTAATAAATGCTTTAAAAGTATTTTTTCATTGTTAGTTCATGTTAATTAATGTAGTTATGTAATGTTAACAAGTGGGACCTTATTGTAAAGTGTTAACAATTTAATTTTATCCTTATGCAGAAGTGTTTGTTTTATCAGATAAGTCAAAATGAACAAACCTCTAAATGAATCTTTAAAATGTTCATTACCAGCAGTGTTATTTTAGTATTATTTATATATTATTTTAGGTTTTATTAATATTTTTAATTAGCTTTTATTTTTAATTTATTTTTACATTTTCGTTTTAATATTATTTTAAGTTTGAGTAATTTTGTAATAAATATTAGTTTTAGTTCTTTTTGAATAACACTATTAACATTTATTTGGTTTTTATTTCAGTTTTAGTTCACATTTACTTTGTATTTATTTGTATTTTATTTTATTTTTTAATCTTGTATGTATTTAGTTAATAAGTGGAGTGTATTAACTTAAACTTATTTCAGTTAGTTGCCAAAGCAACATTTAAAAAAACATTTTAATCTAATATTTATTTCAGCTTTATTTTAATGAACAAAAATGTATTTTGAATCGTTTTAGTTTAAGTTAACCATAATAAGCCTGATTGCAAGTTGCAAGTGCAACAGAGAAAAGAATTGAAGTGCATGACCCCTGCACTAGTGTGTCATTTGGAAATGTGCATGTCCCTGTCCTGGAGGACATACACACCCCGTTCTGTGCAAATGCCACTGAAGAAGGTGGAGATGGGAGAACAAATTGCCCAGATATTTGCACACGTGAGTACAAGGGACGTAACGGGGGTCTATTTTAGTGAGCCATTCACACGCAGGATTCAACCCATAAATCTATCACGAAAAACATATAACGTTTGTTTTTCTTTGACGGCACCACACAACTCATCCTGCTCTGACTGCCTACTAGCTCAAGGTAAGTCCTGCAAGCATTCACAGCATGTTTACACCAAGTTTAATGGACCCACACATGTTGTCATAAATACTTAAGGATGTTGGGTTTATTGCTAAACATTTGAGGGGATTTGCACTCTATGGTCTGTTTATCGTTCATAGATTTACAGCACACATTTAGACATTCAAAGATAATCATACTCACACCTTAACTGTTGGAGGATGGATGAATGTATATGAACATCCTATATTCTCCCGTGTCATAACCGCGGCTCCCCGCAGGGATTAGCAAACACCGCGCCATGTATTTCCGTAACAAGCCATTTGTGTCAACTTTAAGGAATGTATGTTATGAAATACTGTAGCTGTTTCACGGCTAGCTTAGACATGGAGAAGTGTGGATACAAGATCCAACGTTCTTGACTTAGCCAGAGAATTGGCTCGCTGAACCAATTAGACCACGAAACCTGTTCTCAGATGGTTTGTCTTGCACTTAAGCACTCAAAAGTAAAAAAAAAAAAAAAAAAGGTAACCATACACAAGTTGTATGTTGTTTTTTTGGAAATCAAAAGCATAAAACTTTGAACATCATTTAACATGTTTCCTCATTATACTCAGATAATTTTGTTAAAAATAAAAGCTATCTTTTCCCAAAATTAAGTTCTGGCTTCCAAGAATTAAATGTTGGAGGGTTTTGGAAATAAAATGCATTTAAAAAATTAACAGTGCATTTTTTTTTACTTTTTAGCAAACAACTCAAAATATCCTGACAATTTAGTTTGAAATAACAGCTATCTTTTCCAAAAACTTGAGTTCTAGCCAGGATCCGTATGAAAGTATTAGTGTCCAGTGTAGTGAGTTCAAGGCTAGAGCTTGAAACTGGGCCATATGAAAGAATGGCAGCAATGTTCAAATTTAGCCAGGCTGGGAACACTAACAAGCATGTTCCTTATCAGGCACAATAGGTTCGAATGCAATGAATAGGTACGGATAGAGTGCTTGGCACCAGGGCTTTATATAAAGAGTCTTCTTTGGATACGAGGGTCCCAAATTAAATTTTCCTCTACATTGTGACTCCTCCACCTTTTAAATACTTGGCACTCGTCACCTTTCCAGACTATGTTCTATGTGTGGACTGTAAGAATGTTTCCTAGCGACGCAAATCTGACGCACAGATTCATACACACTGAATGATATCATCACCTCCAAGATATTTAGGATCACATACATGGACAGCCATTTTCCATTTAATGCGAGATATAATGTGATCACATGTGATGTCTTTATATGTGTTTTTAAATTCTTTTACAAAGAATAATAAAAAGTTTTCATTTTCAGCGTCTATACAGAGAAAAAAACATGTCTGAAGGGTAAGTATACTTTGACAGCCCTATTATTAAAATTGTAGAGTGGATCTATTGATCTCTTTTGTTAACGCATTTTTGTGTTTCTTTTTTTTTTCTTATCGCATTGCTCTGTGCTTCGTCGTTGTAGACCGGTAAGTTTTGGGAAGATATACCATAATTCATAAATTATTCAAAAATAATTTGGAGAGATTAAATATGACTTGTATTGTTTTTCAGAAAAAAACTAAGTATACTGCCACAAGGCGGCTGCTCTTAAAAGTAAGTTGTCTGTTTTTTAATTAAATACACTGTTTAATAAGTTATTTTTTAAAGAAATTCATTCATATTAATATTAATAACGTAATACTTTTATTCAGCAAGGATGCATTCAATTTATCAAAAGTGACAGTAAAGACATTTATAATATTACCAAATATCTAAATTTCATATTAAAAATTTCATATCAGTTTTTCGCAAAAATATTAAGCAGCACAACTGTTTTCAACAATAATATGATATGTTTCAGCAAAGCAGCATATTAGAATGATTTCTGAAGGATCATGAAAACGCTGAAGACTGGAGTAATGATGCTTAAAATTCAGTTTTGCATCACAGGAATAAATTACATTTTAAAATATATTCAAATAAAAAAATAGAAGTTATTTTAAATTTTTACTGTACTGTTTTTACTGTATTTTTGATCAAATAAATGCAGCCTTTGTGAGTATAACATTCTGACCCCAAACTTTTCAACGGTATGTCATATTTTTAGTAATAATGATATGGTTAGTGAACATATGCACATATTAAATGTAATGTATGTAATGAAAGGCGAGACTAGAATCCATGACGAAACGGCTGGCTGTGTTAGCAGTGTGTTGTGCTATGCGCTAAGCTATGTGCTAATCTTCTGGAGCTTTATAGTCTCATCAGTGCTGTTACGTTACAGAGCAAATTATTGAAGAAGGCCACGTCTATGCTGGCAGCTGAAAAAGAGCAGAATAAAATAGAGAGGGATGAGGCTCTTAATGAGAGGGTTCCCCCTCTCAAACTATCTGGTCTGTCTGCACAGGAGCTCCAGGTATTTTCTTGAATAAGCATTTCTGCACAAGCAACATGCAGAAATAAATATACAGTACTGTATATATTCATGAATGTCTTCAGTGTTTTTTTTTTTTCAGGAACTTTGCAAAGAGCTTCACCGCAAGATTGATGTTGTTGATGAGGCTCGATACGATCTTGAAATGAAAGTGGCTAAAAATGAAAAAGAGGTAATGGTTTTGTGATGTTTTGTGACCACTTTTACAAAGACAAACGAATGATTAAGTAGTAGTTTATTCATGAATACAAATGTTACCAAGTGTTAAGATCCCGCGGTTCTACTAAATAAAGCATTAAATATTTGAATTGGGATTCAAACCCATAACCTAACCGTTGTTAATGACACCAACAATAGCTATGTTTCCATCCAAAGATGCGAATTCGTCACTTCCTGATAAACTGGCACTAAATATCTCTAAGTAAACTAGGAGAAGCCACTGAATATAATAGTTTTTATATGTAATAAATTACTTGCGCTTCAGAGAGACAGCAGACGAAACACAATAAATGCGGTCATTGCTTTTAGAGGTGGATGCCTGCTGTTTGGGAACGCAGTCGTGTAAGACAGTAATTATACAGAAATACTTTGATAACAGACTTTCCTCAGGCATTTCAGAGCGACCAAAACAACATATAGATGCTGTGAACGAGATCGGTCCACTGGTTAATCAATTTATCCCGTCTCATAGCGCAAAGTCACATGACTTTTTCAATGCACATGGTGGAATTTATTCGGTAAATGTGTTTCCATCGTAGTTTATGCACATTTTTTCTTATCGGATAAAAAGTTTATCCTCTCAGTTGTGCGCATACATTTTTTATGCACATTTTTGGAATTTATGCGCATCTTGGCGTTTCCATCCAGCGGTTTTTTATGCGATAATCCAAAATGAGCATAAAAATAGGTGGATGGAAACATGACTATGATAAGGTTATGGATTCCCAGGGAATATGAAAATTGTGCCTGCACAATGTCTATCAAGCAAAGATATTTTAGTATTATTTATAAACTCTTACAGTATTGATCAATATTTTGAATTAGCTTTTATTTTTTATATTTGTATTTTAATTGTAGTTAATGTTTTGGTATTTTTGTTCTTTTGCCAATTATTATTTTAATCTTTATTTTATTTTGATTTCAGTTTTAGTCATTTTAGTACTTTTAACTTATTACTTCAGCTAGTTGCAGAGGCAACAGTTCTAATTTACATTTACGTTTTTAAAGTTTCAGTTAGTTTTTTGTCATCTAATATTTATATTTATTTTATTCAAGCTTTATTTCAATTACTGAATTTTTTCTATATTTTTGTCAATAATACATTTTTCTTATTACATTTACAACACTCCTCTCAAATGAATAAATACAAAACTGACATCAAAACAATTGATTCACAAGTTACCATCATTGTGGTCCATTTCAGATCCAGTCCTTGACCCAGAAGATTTGGGAAATGAAGGGTACAAAGCAACGCACCAAACTGAAGAGAGTTAAGAAGTCACACGATGCCAAGCTCGATGCGCTGACTGAATCCAAAATGTCATCAAAGTCAGATTTCAAAGCCAACCTGAAGACAGTAAAGAAAGAAGATGAGAAGGTAATGCATTTTATCTATGTTGGCATATAAATTCATTCATCATTTATATAAATCAAAGCTCATTCTAAACCTATATTTATATTTGTCCCATTTATAGAAAGAAGAGGTGACTGACTGGCGTAAGAATGTGGAGGCTATGTCTGGAATGGAGGGCAGGAAGAAGCTGTTTGATGCTGGACAATAAAAATGTTACAAAGTAAACTTGTGACTTGACATCCAGCACATTTACCTACCAAGCTTGTAAAATTCAGGGTTGACGTTGTTTTTTACTTCTCAGACTCTATAACAAGAAATGTGTACCCAGACGAGAAGGCTTCTAACATAAATGGTTGGAAGCAAGAAAATCCAAACTGTATAAATTTGATTTCTTGTGACTAATAATGTCACTTAAACACACAAAAACTGTTTATGATGTGCATATAGGTTTAAGTGTTTTTGTAGGTGACCTTAGCACTTAGTTTGTCCTTTGCTGCAATTTGTGGACAGATTATGTATCAATGCGTCTGAAGCCAAATTTGATATTTTGTGTATGAAATGTTAAATATTCATAATAATATGCATGAGATTTATAATCAGACTGGAAATGAATCGAATGCAATGTTGTGAAATAGTGCTGTTTAGGAATAAAAGATGTCAGCTATTGTAACACTTTCTATGCTACTGAAAGTAAAAACTGCAATGTAATGGCATTCCAAAATTAAATGACCCCATGCACAAAGAAACACGTTGTGTCACTGCAGTTCCCTTGCAAAACAAACGCTGTCCTTGAAATGCATTGCTACACTTGGTTGTGTACCTTGCGAGTGCATAACTGGTCTTAAGTTGCCACATGCTTTGTGTATATTTACTCAAATTCAATGCAGCGATGGTATCATTTATTTGCATTTCAAACTATTTGGAAATCCATTGGAAACCTACTGGAAATGTAAACAAGACTGTATAAGTATAAAACATGAAGAGACAACATATACACTAATTCATATCTTCATATCAGTTTAATATGTTGTTCCATATTAAACTGCTGACTGAAGATATTGAATAAAAGTTACATTTTTCAAGCTAACTAGACGATCACTTTCATTTACAGTACAGAAGAGGTCATACAGCTATGGCTGACTTCAGCAAAGCCTTTTCTGCCTTGTAGGGTCAAACAATGGGAAATGAAGAGTGACTGGCAGTGGACAACGTGTGCAATTGTGTTTTGATGGTGCTGAGTAAAATGAGCCTCAGGGTGTAAGGCTTCAGTCTATTTTAGTGAGCCACTCAGAGGAGGCCAAAGAGGCCATAAAATTTGCCTGGGTTTTCTTGTGCACTGACATTGTCACACTCTCATTGCCTTGGAGTGGTCTTTGGAGGAACAGGTATGAACTATTGCACTATTTGTCACCGTTAACTGTAAAACCAATGCGTTTAATTGCTCTAAAAATTACCTATGAAATATAACTGCTGACATCAAATTAATGCGTAGCATAGCTCAGATAGTTTGATCTTTAAAAGCTTTGATGAGACATGGCTGGTTACAATGTTGAGATCTCTTCTGAAGTCAGAGGATATTAAAAGACTCAATTTGCACCTCATTTAATCTCACTGCTGTCTAGGAGAAAAAGATTTTCTTTCTAAATCTGGTTTATCCATCAGAAATGGATTTGTGTGTGATGTTGAGAATGGGTGCTAAAAAATGTATAATGCATGGTTTGTTAAAGTGTCATGTGCTTCCAAAATACTACTTATGAAGTGAATTCTAGTAATAATAACTGTGCTTATGAGTCACCAATCTTTCTATTTCAGATTTTGACTAGTGATTTACACCAGATTAGTCATAAAAAGGAAGTACTTAGAAGCTCACAATGTCTGAGTCGTAAGTATTCAGTCTTTTAAGTTGTTAATATCTATATCTTGCTGTAAATGTTTAAAACATGCCTACTTTTATTTCTTTTCATAAATTGAAAATGGCCAATTTAGACAGGTAAGTGGATTTTATTACTTAAAATTTTTGTATATGGCAATATCATTTTTTCCCCCAACAAAATCCGATTGCGCTTAATTCTTGCAGCGACCCAAATCTAAGATTTCGGCATCCAGGAGGTTGTTCTTAAAGGTATTTGGTTCTGTTCGTTTTACAGAGAAGATATAATTCCTGAAGATGATGCATTTAACAATACCTTCTGACATGTTTTGCTTCAGACAAAGCTGCTGAAGAAGGCAACCTCTATGCTTGTGACTGAAAAAGAAGACAAGCAGAGGGAGAGAGAGACCACCTTGCGTGAGAGAGTGCCACCTCTACAACTGTCCGGTCTGTCTGTTCAAGAGCTTCAGGTAAACCTAATTCAAAAATGATACTTTTAATTAATTAAAAAATATATATATAAGTAATTAATTAAACATTTTAATGAATAAAAATAGGTATTCAATTCATTTTTATTTATGTTTTCATATTTATTACATGATGATTTGGTGCAAATCATTAATTGAAATGATGGTGCTAATTACTTTTTAATTTTATTAATTAAAAAAATATTTTTTAAATTAAAAAGCGCATTTAAATTTGTAAGATTATTATTTAAGAATTGGTGCCATCTGTACGGAACATAAATGCTGAAAAAAATGTAAAGTATTTTAGCTTCATTGATTTTCTAAATCTAAAAATAGCATTAACAACCGCATCAGTAATTTCCCAAGGTCATTTTATTGGTACAATACTTTGTTTTCAGGCTCTCTGTAAAGACCTCCATCAAAAGATTGATGTTGTAGATGAAGAGAGGTATGATATCAACGCCAAGGTGGCCAAAAATGAAAAGGAGGTACTACACCACCACCGTTTATCTTATTACGTAGATTCAATGAAAATACACTTTATGTCGATTCACTATAATAAATGCATGTGTCTGCTTCAGATTGCAGATCTGAACATCAAGATTACCGAACTTAGAGGTAAAATGAAGAGACCTGCACTGAAGAGGGTGAAGATCTCTGCCGATGCCATGTTGGGTGCTCTTTTGGGCTCCAGGGTCAAAGAGTCTGTGGATTTCAAAGCCAACCTCAAGACAGTCAAGAAAGAAGATGAGAAGGTAAGTCATGTGACAAGTCATGTAAAGGAAAAAATACAATTCTGAGTGGTAATGCATATGTATTTTCGAGCTAGTTTAACACATACCTGTTGTTACACCTGTTCCTCTCCCAGAAAGAAGAGGTGACTGACTGGCGTAAGAATGTGGAGGCCATGTCTGGAATGGAGGGCAGGAAGAAGCTGTTTGATGCTGGACAATAGAAGATACATTTGAAAAACTTTATGGTTTGTTTGTCAATGATCTTTTGATTGAGAATGTCTTACTTCAAATATTTTACCTACACTTTAAGCACTGAATTTTATTTGTTTTCTTTCAGGTGACAACTACACCAGAATTAATAAACTTCTTAAAATGAATGTACAATTCAATGCAAGTTCATATAACACATATATCCTATTGTAATAATAGCTTAGGATTATGGTTTAATATTATATTTTAGTTAAAAGGAAACTGCATATAAGTTATTTAGACAAGAAAACAGTGTCTGAAACTTACTTGATGTCTACTTGATCTACTTGTTTCTGTGATGCTGAGCCCATTTTCTGTCTTAAAAATAAAAACACATCAAAGAAAGCCTAAATATTTTGCCCCTTACTTAAAAAAAAAATGCAAAGTGCCTGCAACAAGGACTGACACTTAGGACTTCAGATCAGAAGACCTCTGGAAATGTTTGGATACAACAGCCCTAAATGTAGCAGAACCTGAAGGCTCTGAACTTGCCATGCACTTTTATCTATTTGACCTCACTTCATAACAGACATAACACAACTGCTGTCTCCCAGGAATACCTTCAGTTGTTCTAACATCAATCAACTATATTTGTAAATGTGTGGAACTTAAAAAAATACATGCACTTTTAAAGCTTTTCAAACTAAATCACTCATTTAATTTTGTTATTAAAACATCCCAAAAACTCTTTAGTTGACCAACTGAAATCGTGCCAGTGCAATTTCTGCAACGTCAGACTAACAGACCTTGATACATGCTAATTGACAACAATTGCCATTCAATTTTAATGGTTTAAGTTTAAATGTCAAAATTCAGACTTTTTTTCTCAGAATTGCGAGATTATTTCTCACTGTTGCAAGTTATATACTTGTAATTGCGAGTTTATTTCTTTGACCTTTTTTTCTAAACATTACAGTATGTGTTTACATGTCGATTCTGTTTTGTTTGTTTCCACCATGGAATAAAAAAAATTGCAACTTTTTATGTCACAATTCTAACTTTTTTCTCTCAGAATTGTGAGATTATTTCTCACAGTTGCAAGTTATAAAATTGTAATTGCGAGTTTACATCTTTTCTGAATTTTCATTTAGCAATTTTGACTTTTTCTGAGAATTCTGCATTTACATCTCACAATTCTGTTTTGATTGTTTTCACCATGGAATAAAAAAATAGCGTCTGACAATTCCGACTTTTTTCTAAGAATTGCGAGTCAATATCTCACAATTCTGAAGGGAAAGAAGTAAGAATTGTGAGATGAAAATGTTTTTCTATGACATTTTCTGTTATATGACTTTTTTTTAATTTTACTTTTATTCTAAGAGTCTATACCTTGCAAAAAAAGTTTATATCTCACAATTCTGAGAAAAAAAGCTATAATATCAGAATTGCGCAATTACCTTTTTTATTTTGTGATGGAAAACTGAAGCAATAAACAAACAACTATGATCCAATGATCCAATCAATTCCTGATGGACAAAAAAGTCCCGGCCTACATTTTTTCCACATGGATAAACGTCACAACAGAGAAGACAGATGAAGACTGTAACTGGACTACACACATCAACACAAACACACAACAGTATGTGTTTACATGTCGATTCTGTTTTGTTTGTTTCCACCATGGAATAAAAAAAATTGCAACTTTTTATGTCACAATTCTAACTTTTTTCTCTCAGAATTGTGAGATTATTTCTCACAGTTGCAAGTTATAAAATTGTAATTGTGAGTTTACATCTTTTCTGAATTTTCATTTAGCAATTTTGACTTTTTCTGAGAATTCTGCATTTACATCTCACAATTCTGTTTTGATTGTTTTCACCATGGAATAAAAAAATAGCGTCTGACAATTCCGACTTTTTTCTAAGAATTGCGAGTCAATATCTCACAATTCTGAAGGGAAAGAAGTAAGAATTGTGAGATGAAAATGTTTTTCTATGACATTTACTTTTTTTCTAAGAATCTGTATTCCGCAATTCTGAGGGAAAAAAAGGAATAATTGTGAAATTAAACGTTTTTTTGTTTGTTGTTGTTTTTCTATGACATTTTCTGTTATATGACTTTTTTTTAATTTTACTTTTATTCTAAGAGTCTATACCTTGCAAAAAAAGTTTATATCTCACAATTCTGAGAAAAAAAGCTATAATATCAGAATTGCGCAATTACCTTTTTTATTTTGTGATGGAAAACTGAAGCAATAAACAAACAACTATGATCCAATGATCCAATCAATTCCTGATGGACAAAAATAGTCCCAGCCCACATTTTTTCTCATCACATGGATAAAAGTCACAAAAAAGATGAAGACTGTAACTGGACTACACACACACACACACTCACACACACAATGCTGTAGCTTGAATATAATTGCAAATATAAACATATTTAATGTATTTTATAATTTTTTTATCTCTTAATGGCCAGCTATAATGATATTTCCATCCAGAAAAATATAATTACTATCATATTATTATAAAAAAAAAAAAAAACTGTATATTGCAACTTTCATATGAACACCAAATGCTCTCAGAAAAACAGGTACACAAGCTGTCACTGGGGCAGTAACTTTTCAAAAGATACGCCTTTGTACCTAAAGAGTCCGTACTGTGGCCTTAAAGGTACATATTAGTACCTAAAGTGTACATATTCATACCTAAAACTTACCGCCCCAGTGACAGCTTTTGTATCTTTTTTCTGAGAGTGTACAAAGCCATTTAAAGACAAGGACTTCTTGCATTTGGCATCCAATCATCTGGCCATAATGCCTAAAAATAAATCCAGCACAAATGGCAGGTGGTAATTCACTACATATCTCTTGGAGTGTCACCTCTCAGGAAGAATGAGGTGTGACGGGGGCAGCTCACATTACATTAAGACAGTGCTTCCACCTGCTTGCTGCCCTCTAAACCCCAGAAATGATTGATATCACATCATCTCCTGCCAGCTATTGGTCGCTTAATGTGCATGGAAATTATCACGTTCATGAGATAGCTGTCATAGCATAACATCATATTGCAATTAACCGGAATAAACGTAGATTCCAAAAATATTTGTTATTTCCACTTCCTCACTGTTTATTGTTGTCTTGACATCTTATCCTTTCCTGTTTTTCATAGATAATGTTTCTAATATGTGACCCTGGACCACAAAACCAGTCATTTTGAAATTGAGATACATCATATGAAAGCTGAACAAATAAGCTTTCCATTGATGTATGGTTTGTTAGGATAGGGCAATCTTTGGCCGAGATACAACTATTTGAAAATCTGGAATCTGAGGGTGCAAAAAAATCTAAATATTGAGAAAATCACCTTTAAAGTTGTCCAAATGAAGTTCTTAGCAATGCATATTACTAATCAAAAATTAAGTTTTAATATATTTACAGTAGGAAATTTACAAAATATCTTCATGGAACATGATCTTTACTTAATATCCTTTGATATTAAGGATTTTTGGCATAAAAGAAAAATCAATAATTTTGACCCATACAATGTATTTTTGGCTATGGCTACAAATATACCCCAGCGACTTAAGACTGGTTTTGTGGTCCAGGGTCACATATGAGTACAAGTTAGTTGTACCTTAATAAGTGCAAAATTCTTGCCTTATATACTCTTATAGACTGTCATTTCCACTCAATTTATTTCTGTTATGACCAGCATCACCTTTAGACCTTTGAACTGGTCATCAATACGGTTTTGGCCACCAAAAAGAGGCATTCAAACCGGTCCACACTGCATAGCTGCATGTCTCTGTCCAAATGAAAGTTTTACTACGCTAGTTTACTGTGTGAACAGTAAATGTCAGTAGAGTGGCACAGACAGGCGTCTATTTTAGTGAGACGTTCCCATGCGTGCTGAAACTATAAATCTAAGGATTTTCTTCTTTCCTCTGTCAGCCAGTTAACTCACACTGCTGTCTTTTCTTCATCTAGCAGGTATGTCTCTTTCAGTGGTCATAAGAGGCTAAGGGCTATGTGTTTGGTTATTTGCAAATGCATCATTATTCAGTTGTTAGAAGGGGTTATAGATTAGCTGTGATGGTAAAGGATTTATTTATTATTTATATAAAACTGGTAAGAAATTAGGCACAGTTGCATTCAGATGTCTCTCAAATTGGTGACAATCCTGAAAGATTTTCACCTATGCTAAAACTCACGGACGCTATGCACAGAACTCCTACCGCTGTGTAGAGGACTGATAGGTCAAATGGATGGATTAAAGGGTCTGATTACCAATGTCATTAATGAATTAGAATTAAGTTATGCAGGATCCTTTAAGGATTGCATAATTGCTACATTATATTAAACATGCAAAATTTGGTTTTGTTTTGAGTTTTTAATTTTTTATTTATTTTTGCTGTGCTATTAAACTTTTTTTCTGGAATTTTAACTACAAAAGTAGCTTGAAATTTAAATATGATGAGTACCCTAGTGAAAAATAAATATACTTAAAAGTAGGGCTGCACGATAAATCGCATGCAATATTTAATGCGCATCTTGTCAGAAAGCCGGTTCTGTAATCAGCGGTAAATCTCCATCACCTGCGTGCTTTCACATTGAGCAGCATTAACTACACAGAGCAGGTGCAAGCGTAGACCGAGTTTCTATTTATAACTATAGACTGTATAAAAACATAGACGTAGTGTCCGTGACGTCACCCGTAGGATTCTGAAGAGCGTTTTTGAAGCTCAAAGTGGGCGGAGCATCTCTGCTGAAGTAGAGATTCTACATTGATAACAAAATAACTCTTTGCTTTGATATGACAACAATGGTCCTGTCATCCTGAAGATAAGGCTGCTGAATACAGCTACAAAACAAAAAAAAAACAAAAAAAAAATCGGACATCGAGGGGTTATGATGTCATTGGCAGGCGACACAATGACACTATGGACACGGTCCGTGTCACTAGTTAAAATTGCTTATTTCTCTGGATTTAAACATTCTTCGAAACATTTGGGATAATGTAAGTACACAAGTCAGCAAAATATATAACACTGTTCTAGTGGGTTTTGGATATTTTAATTTAAAAAATCGTACATATTGTGCCTTTAATTTCGTAACACGTGCATTTTCACAGTTCATATTATAATATTTAATAGTTTTAGTAAGCGTTTAAGTTAAGTTCTAAATTAATTTAAATTATTTTTTTATTATTTAATTAATTATTAGCTATTTTATCAACTATTTTGTGAACGCTCTGTTTTGTGTGTAGCAACTTTGCAAGGATTTGCATCAAGATTGACGTGATAGATGAGGACATTGGCATTAAGGAGGCCAAAAATGACAAAGAGGTATGAAAACAGAGTAGCAAACATCAGTGTTTGATAAACAGTTCTCACTCATGAAGCTATTGTGTTCGGTTAGCATTGAATCGAACAGTTGGCTTGGCAGCTTTTGTGTTAAAGTGCAATGTGTGGTCTGTTTTGTTTAAAGATACAGGAAATTAATCAGAAGATCTATGAGATGAAGAGCAAGCTAAAGAGGCCTAACCTGAAGAGAGTCAAACTGTCAGCTGAACACATGCTAAGTGTCCTTCTGGGCTCCAAACACACACAGTCCATTGACTTCAAAGCTAACCTGAAGACAGTGAAGAAAGAAGAGGAGAAGGTAAGACTATATAAAATACTTTAAATGGACAGAAGTGCTAATATAAAAAAAACAATTATCTGTATTTACCTTCCACAGAAAGGAGAGGTGACTGACTGCCGTAAAAACGTAGAGGCCATGTCTGGAATGGAGGGCAGGGGCTCCAAACACACACAGTCCATTGACTTCAAAGCTAACCTGAAGACAGTGAAGAAAGAAGAGGAGAAGGTAAGACTATATAAAATACTTTAAATGGACAGAAGTGCTAATATAAAAAAACAATTATCTGTATTTACCTTCCACAGAAAGGAGAGGTGACTGACTGGCGTAAAAACGTAGAGGCTATGTCTGGAATGGAGGGCAGGAAGAAGCTGTTTGATGCTGGACAGTAAAAGGTAAATACTGGCAGTAATATATATATTTTGTCATTTTAATAAATATTTTATTGCACAAAGATCTCTCTAAACATATGACAAGTAAGTGGTAGATAGAGACTAGAAAAACAACATCATGTCTGAGCAAAATCTCTTTAAATGTCTTGCAGATGGCAGCAGTACTAAACCAAAGATGATGTCAAAGATGTAATCACTGTTTTTGACTAACAATGTTTCACTGTAACGTGCTTTCTTACTATTAGTTAAGGCAAACTGATCAGTTTCACAGAATGCAGGGTAACAGTTTACAATAAAATCCTATTAGTTAATGCATTAACTAACAATGAGCAGTACATTTGTAACAGTATTTATTCATCTCAGTTGTTAACTTTATTTAATTAAAATAAAACTGTTAGTTCATGTCAGCTCTATTATCCATTAAATATTATTTCATGATTGATTTTACTTTTGACTATTTTGACTAATACTATATTAGTAAGTGTTAAAATAAAAAATAACCAAGATTAATAAATGCTTGATTTTTCTTCTTCTTTTTTTTGATTGTGTTAACTAATGCCGTTATCTAATGTTAACAAATGAAACTTTATTGTAAAGTCTTACCAAGTACATTCATCATGTTGACATATTGAATGCTAGAAATAGAATCTGATTTAGCAGTAAATCAAAATTAAATGTTTTAATACTCACTTGTAAAATTTCAAATTAAAAGCTCTTTCTTCACCTCTTGTCATATTTAATACAGCTGCAGTTCTTCTTTTGCCCTACCAATGGCAGCCTACAACAACATATCAGGAAGAAGAAGAAACACTCAGCATGCCATTCATCACTTCTTTATGTTCAAGGTCCCTTATTGACGGTTGTGAAAATATCTTTGATTTCAGATCTGAATTAGTTAAGGTTTTATGAAAATATTGAAATATAGTTCAATATTCCAACATAATGTCTTCACGGATTTTTTGAATGGCTTTTTAAATAGAATGATATTATTAATATTTTCTTGTAAAGAAATGAGATATATGGCAATTATATTGTTTTTTCCCAAGATATGCAGTATATCCAATAAAAAACAACCACAAAAAGAACAATAATACATGAAACTTCATTCCAGTTCAGATTAAATTAGATCAGGCAATATGTTCACATATAGTCTCATTAATGCTGTATTGTTGGGCTCACCCTTAGTCTAGAGAACATAAAGTACACTTGAGCACCAGGTGCTCTGTCACTCTGCAGCCTGGGATGTGAAGCATTTGACAGTAATAATGGTGTGGACACTAGTCTATTTTAGTGAGCCTCTCACGAGTGCTTCAGAATCTATAAATCTGCAGTTTCTTCCCTGAGGCCAAAACAGTCATACTTCCATCATCTGAGAGGTAAGGATCTTCAGGTTATAACGACTTCTAGCAATGTATGCATATTAGATTTTGTGTTGCTTCTTACCCTACATCTCTTCAATGACATTACAAAAAGAATTTAAAAATATTAAATGTCTTAAATTTGTACTGTAAATGCTTGTATGGCTATACAAAGCACTTATGTGTCTAATCTAGTATTTTTTAAAGAAATATTTTGTCATTTGTAAGCCTCCAGGAAAAAGCAAAGGCACTAAAATGTCTGAATCTGTGTAAGTATTTTCAAAACTTGTATAAATATTATTAAAATAATAAATTATTTACTATATTATAAATCTTTTCATATATTAAATATATGTGTTTTAATTTCTGGCCCCATCTGTGTCAGTCCGGTGAGTAACTTACATTTGAACACTGTATTTAATAATATCTGACACATACTTTACAAGTACATTTTATATTTTCATATCAAATTGAGCACTGCAGAATTTGTGATAGTCACAGTATTGTTTGTTTGATATTGGCTCTTTTCTTCAGAAAAAGCCCAAGATTTCTGCATCTCGTCGGTTATTCTTAAAGGTTAGTTTCTATTTTTTTGTGTTTCTGAAAATATCTTGTTTCACCAACTCACCATGATCTACATATGAATATTTTATGGCCATGCATCTTCTGTCATTTTAATGCACTGCAGACCAAAATACTGAAGAAGGCCAGCACCCTGCTGGCAGACGAGAAGGAACAGAAAAAGATTGACAGAGAGCGAACACTCAGTGAGAGAGTTCCTCCTCTCCAGCTGTCTGGACTGTCTGTACAGGACTTACAGGTTGTTATTCTTTGGCTGTTGTCAGAATGCTTTTGAAACTATTCTTTCTTACATGCCATTGCTCTGTTTACAGAATCTGTGCAAAGAACTCCATCAAAAAATTGATGTTGTCGATGAGGAACGATATGACATTGAATCTAAAGTTGCCAAAAATGAAAAGGAGGTACATTTTGTTGCTTTAAAAATGCCATTATTGATGCATTATTGATCAGCCCTGATTGATACTTCTGCTATAGATTGAAGATTTAAACCACAAAATCTTTGAGCTGAAGGGAAAAATGAAGAGACCTGCCCTGAAGAGAGTGAGAGTGTCTGCTGATGCCATGCTGGGGGCTCTGCTAGGTGCCAAACACAAGGAATCCATTGACTTTAAAGCTAACCTCAAGACAGTGAAGAAGGAGGAGGAAAAGGTAATCTCAGTACTTTGACATCAATATCATACTCAGACTTTATGGATTCAGTGCTTTAATTTGTCAGTATTCAATTATTTGCAGATTTCTTTTGTTTTGTTGTTGAATGGGTGCCATCAGAATGAGAGTCCAAACAGCTGATAAAAACATCACAATATTCCACACGATTCCAGTCCATCAGTTACCATTGTTATTATTGTCATGAAGCAAAAAGCCGCGTGTTTGTAATAAACAAATTCAACATTAAGATGTTTTTAACTTCAAACCATTTCTTCCAACTAAAATATGAGTCCTCTATCTATAATATTGCTTTCTCCAGGGAAAAGTAATCTCGTCTTAAGAAATATACATAAATCAAACACCATTTTTAAGCAAAAACAGTCCAAAACAGATCTAATCAAAAATCATATTCTCATAATTTGTACAGAAGTGACCATTTAAAGTTGAAACACCTCAACGATGGATTTGTTTCTTACAAACACAGAGTCATGTGGATTACTTGTGGACTATATTGTGATGTTTTTATCAGCTGTTTGGACTCTCATTCTGACGGCACCCATTCACTGCAGAGGATCCATTAGTGAGCATGTGATGTAATGCTAAATTTCTCCAAATCTGTTCAAGTGAAGAAACAAACTCTTGAATGGCCTGAGGCTGAGTTCATTTTCAGCAATCTTTCATTTTTGGGTGAACTATTCATTTAATATGCTCTCTATGACTCTAGAAAACATGACAGTGTGTTAAATACAAATAATAAGAGTTATTGAAATATGCATTTATTTGTAATCTGTGCAGAAAGAAGAAGTGACCGACTGGCGTAAAAATGTGGATGCTATGTCTGGCATGGAGGGCAGGAAGAAGATGTTTGCGGGACCAAATGCATAATGAATTCTTTAAAAATTGTTATTTCAAAAATTAAAGTCCAATGTGAAAGCTATTTAAAAATACACATATTTAGCTGCTGTTTACTTGTGGTTATGCATTTTTTTTGTTTTATTGCATAAACAGCTGGATGAATGAAAAACAATTGTATGAGAAATTCAAAAAGCTGTGCTATTGTTATAACCACATTTATCAGTTCAAATATTGAAGCATGTGATTTATGACACATATAAAACATTTATTTATGTTAATATTTGTTTAATATATAATTGCATTTGTCATTATATAATAATGCTTATATTGTAATAATATTTATATGTGAACAGTTGTGTGAATATTGAGGAAAAATAAAGCTGTTTTCACCAGTAATTCCAAGTTTTCTTGCTGGCATTGCTCTCTGTTAAGAGGTTTTCGGGTGCAAATACCATTTTTCCACATGATAAGAGTGATAAAAAAAGAAAGATTAAAACTACTTTAAATGAAGTAACTGGTCTTACCTGTTAAATTAGATGAACACGGTTGTAATCCACTATAATCCTAATCCTACTGTAATTCTACTCCTTTATTAAATTGAAGTAAAAAGAAATGGAACTGACGTTATCAACCTCAAAATAACGGCAGTTCCAATTCGCCACTGTACTCTTAAACACGCCTACTTATGAAGAACACGTAGCTGATTGGCTAAAAGCAGTGTCACTCAAACCAACGGTTTCGCGTTTGTTGAAGCTGCTCTGATAGTTCCTGTTGCAGAGCTGCAGCTACTCTGAGCTGGGCGTTTACTGATCTGAAGGTGAGCACATAAGAATTCATAGTAATTTTCAGTGGGCATGTCTAATTTCATATTCATTTAGATTTATAATTAATCGATACAGATAAGGATGTTTTGTGCGTGCACTGTGCGATGTCATTAAGACATGCTAACAGGCTAGTTCAGTTGTGTCATGTACCGAACTGTTGATCGCTTCTTTTCATTTCAGATTCACTTCAATATTTAGATACTTATACATTTTAACCTGTGAATGCGATATTTTTTCCTATTTTAGAGTTTGAAAATAAGAGTTGGTCAGAGCTGGTCAGACCATTTGTTAAATTAGCATTGACATTTAGTTCATGACCCTTAACCTTTCAGTTCTAATCTTCAGTTTGGTTATATGTATATATATATATAGTTTATTATATCTTAATATCTTCTTGCCTTCTATTTCCATTTTGCAGATAGGCAATAATAAAGTTAGCAATTTTTGATTATATAACAATCGAGCGGTTGAAAATTTGCTATATAGCACATAACTGCATATGCATCACTTTCAGGCTTCTGTACAGTTTCTTCTGAATGTCCAAATACAAACTCTTACTTCTCCGACATGGGGAGGGGGCCTGGAACAAGGAGAACCGCTTCTGCAGCTGGGTTGACCAGAAACTGAGCGAGAACGGGGTGGTGGAAGCCCGAGAATGCGGCAGACTCCTGAAAGAGCAGGGGTACCAATTCGACCAGGTTTTTACCTCCATACTGAGCCGCTCCATCCAGACGGCCTGGTTGGTGCTGGAGGCCATGGGACAAGAGTGGGTCCCAGTCACCAAATCCTGGAGGTTAAACGAGCGGCATTACGGTGCCCTGATTGGCCTCAATCGGGCCGAGATGGCGTTGAACCATGGCGAGGAACAGGTTAAATTGTGGAGGCGAAGCTATGACATCACGCCGCCCCCCATTGATGAGTCACATCCCTATTATGCTGAAATTTACAATGACTGCCGATACAGTACGTGTGACGTTCCAAAAGAGGAACTGCCCAAAACGGAAAGTCTAAAGGAAGTGTTGGACAGACTTCTTCCTTATTGGAATGATGTCATTGTACCGGTGATCAAGAGTGGCCAAACGGTCCTCATCTCTGCACATGGCAACAGCTGCAGGGCTTTGCTTAAACATTTGGAAGGTGAAACATATTTGTTTTTAAATTCTGTCACCATTTACTCATCATCTTGTCATTTGCTGGCTTTTTCCTTCTGTGGAATGATTTATTTTGCTGTTGTTTTATTTTTTGGCTCATACAATAAAAGTCCATTTGGTTTAGTGTTGTTTGAACCCCACTGACTTTCATTTTATGAACAAAAACAGTCGAAACATTCTTCAAAAATCTTCTTTTAAAATATCTTCTCAAACTCTTTCAAACTGAGTTATATAATGCTTCTAAAGGCCGCTGAGTTAAAATTACAAGGATACTATTGACTGTAACCCTTGACCTTAAAGCACTTGGAAGGTTATCACAAGGGGTCAAAAGTGACAGTTAAGACATGTATAATGTTGCAAAAGTTTGCTATTTTAAGATCACTGCTGTTCTTTATGGACTTTCTATTCCGCAACGAATCCTAAACCAGTTTCCAAATGCATGTATCAAGCAGCACAACTGTTTTCAACATTCATAATTATAAGGGATGTTTCTTGAGCAACAAATCGGCACTTTAGAATGATTTCTAAAGGATCATGTGACACTGAAGAAATGGCATATGATGCTGAAAATGTAGCTTTGCATCTCAGGAATAAGTTCCATTTTAAATATATTTTAAAATAGTAAACAGTTATTTTAAATTGTAATATTTCTCTTTAAATATTATAAGTAACGACGCATAGAGAGTGGATAGTAATACTAATGAAGTTGGTATTAAAACATAAACCTTAAATATTTTAATATTCTATTTACACACTTTTGCTGTCTTTCTCAACAGATATATCAGAAACAGACATTGTGAATGTAACGCTGCCCACCGGAGTACCAGTCTTGCTGGAGCTTGATGAAGATCTTCGACCGGTCAAGCCCCGCCAGCTTCTGGGTGATCAGGCCAAAATTCAGGCAGCCATCAAAAAGGTGGAGGATCAAGGGAAGGCTAATGCACAAAATAAATAAGGATTTTATTGGTGAAAATGCCAGAATCATTCAGATAGGAACTGTTCAAACAGAAAGATTATTAGTCAGTCATGAAGCACCTGGTAAAATGGCACACACTGTAGGGTGTGTCTGAGGTAGACTGGTTTAGTGGTATTTTAGGAATCATGAAGAGTTAGTCAATATTTTGAATTTAAGCACTGGTTACTGATCCAAAATGCACACAATTTTGTCATAGCAAGAGGTCTGTAGACCAAATAATAATGAAATAGATGTTGATGTAATATTTAAAATGATCATTTAATAATGTGTTATTTTTTGTTAGCTCTTGCTTAGTTTTCCAATGGATTTGTGGCCACGGAAAACCAGTGGTGCCTTCCTTTGGGCGAAAAATTGGATCCATCAGTTGTGTTCTAACAGAATTTCGTATTAAAGGTCAACATATGATTTTAACCATTTCTGTATTTAAAAACTACCAAACAAGAGTTTAGGGTCAGTAAAAAGTCACTTAAGCTCACCGAGGCTGCATTTATTTGATCAAAAATACAGTAATAATCTTTTAATATATTTTAAGCTGTAATTTCATTGTCAGATGATTCAGAAATCATTCTAATAATCTGTTTTGTTATTTAAGGAACATTTATTATCAATGTTGAAAGCAGTTGTACTGCTTAACATTTTTGTGAAAACCATGATGCATTGTGTTCTTTGATGAATAGAATGTTTAAAAGAACAGCATTTATTTGAAGTAGAGTTTTTGTAACAATGTAAAAGTCTTTACTGTCACTTTTGATCAATTTAATGCAGTCTTGCTGAAAAAAAAAAAGTAATTAAAAAAAAAAAAAAAATCCTACTGACCTTGAACTTCTGAACTACCCAACTGGAATGGAATCATTCCAAAAATGAATAAATAAATAAATAATAGTAAAAACAAGCATATTATTCACTCCACTGTCTGGACTTCCAAGCCACAGATTAAATCTAATCTTATTGAATTCATATTTATATTCCACAAATCAGGTTTATTAAGCTTACTATTTAAAATTAAAATTAGAGACTTCATTGGATGTCTGAAGGATAATTATAAATTATTTAAAATATTGTGTGTTAAATAGCACTGTTAGCATACTTTAGACAGTATTTTAAAACATTCTTTTAAAGGGACATTTTTTTATCTAAAATATTTATTAACAGAGATATTAAGATAATATGTGTTAAGACTAAGTTATGAGTTTATCATGCACTGCCAAACGCAACCCACACTAGCTCTTTTGTATCTCATTCTTTTCTCCACCAACGTTTACCAACTCAAATGCAAAGACAAACCAGTCTTACTGGTGAGTAAAATCTAGACACAGTTGTGGTTTAGAATGTCTGTGCACTGTAATACCTCTGTTTGTTTTTGTGTATTTAATGTTGCTGAACACTGTACTGTATCTGTAGAGAAATGTTATGTGTGTGTTGTTTTTGTTATAATGGCCATAGTGGCTTTCACTGTTACATGTCTACATGTTTGACCCCTGTTATGGCACATTATAACTCACCTAATGTGGTTTTACTTTCTTTTCCACCACCCAGAAGCACTGGTCTGCTGGGTTTAGCACATCCCTGAAGCATTTTCCTGAGAGAATAATATTAAAAAATAAACATTACAGATATAAAAGTGTTAATGTGTATTAAATGATGTGTGTGAAAAAGTATAAAACACCTGTTAACCAGGAGGAGGTGCTACAGTGTTTTCTGAGAAGACATTTCTCCAGTGGAACAGATGTTGATCTTAATATAATAGCGGTGGATGATAAGTTTGTTTTTACAGAAAGCACTAATGACATAGGGAAACTGATTTTGGTTATTCAGTAGGATGTAGCACTTGGCAGACTACATATTCACTAAACCTAATAGCTCACATTTGTTTTGTTGAGCTGGAATGTTTGAAAAGAAGCACTAAAACATGTTCTCATGGTCTTTAATGTCCTCTCAGAAGAATATACATTTGAACACATTATATGCTCTTGGGAAAACGTGCCACATCCATCTCCCTCAAAACTTATTAAAAAATAATGTGATTTTCATTGAGTTTATTTGCTGATGCTATGAAGACGTGACTGGACAGGCTGTTTCTGATTACACTTGATATTTTTCATGGACTGTGTTCTGAAACATGGATTTCACAGTCCTAACTTTAAAACATGGTCTCGAAACAGTAGAAAAACATCACGGGAATCTGACTGTAGAAACTCTGCCAAGGGTCCAATTTGAGAACTGTTCAGTTTGGCTGAAGACCAGAAAGGCCTGGACACAATCTAGCCTCGTCTTCACTGCCAGTCTGACACCGGTTTCTTTTAAAATGGTTATGGTTAGGACGTTAGCATGCCAATAGTTCAGGGACATTACTGCAACACCTATTATTTTCTTGATGTGGCTGTAAACTAGCCTAATCGATGTTCACTATTGCTCAACCAGGACAAACTTACACAATAACTTTACACCATGCAAGCACATTTACAAAGCTGCAAAATACCATTTCAAACCAAAATATCAAAGTTACTACAGTTATTGTTAGTTAACTAATGAAACCATTGCAATTAAAAAGTTATACTATTTTTGTGATTTTATTATAATAACATTTTAATTATATTATTTTTATTTAATTAGAATTGTAGGATAGGTGCAGACACATTAAAAAAATTCACAGGCATAAGCAATATATTAAGTACAACTTGCACAGACACTTTCAAGTTAAACAGCTTTTTTTTTTTCAAAATGCGCAGTTGCATGGATTCCTATAGAAATGACTGGGTTTTGTCCATGAAAATTTTACCAAACAACAGTAAAATGTGATCACAAAATAACTATTGGTAGTATGGCAGAAGCTTTTTACCATAAAATATTTTATGACAGTGTAACTAATAGTAGTTAAATGTGAAAAAAATTTATGATAAAATTAAATACACATTTACAACAAAAATAAACTAAAAATCAGACAATTTGTTGCAGTCTAGTTAACAAAAATCACAAAAGTATTTTTTTTTAACAATAAGCTGCATGGAGCTGCAAAAACAACAAAGCAATCACACTTATAAAAGTACACTGACCCAAAACAAAACAAACAAAACAATTAGACTGACCCAAAAACAAAACAAGCAAAAACAAATAAAACAAAAAATTACACTGACCCAAAACAAAAACAAACAAAACAATTAACCTACACTGACCCAAAACAAAGCAAAAAAAAAAAAACAAGCAAAAACAAATAAAACAAACAAAACAATTAACCTACACTGACCCAAAACAAAGCAAAAAAAAAAAAAACAAGCAAAAACAAATAAAACAAACAAAACAAAAAAATTACACTGACCCAAAACGAAGCAAAACAAAACAAACAAAATAATTACTGACCCAAAACAAAACAAACAAAAGTAAACAAATTAACACTGACCCAAATTAGCCTGCAACAAAACAAACTTAAATCAGTGTAAAGCGGTTGTAGAGACTAGCAAACCATCTTGTTTTCTTTGTCCTCAGTAGGGTCAGTGTAACTTCATTGTAATTAGAATTTTTTGAGCTTGCTGATTTTAAAAACTTGTTGGTTTAATACAAGATGTTATTTTTTAACTAAGCTGCGAAGCTGCTCTGTTGGGGGCGATATCAGATAGGAGTGTGACATTGATCTATTAGGCTACTTACGGATGGAGGAAAGCGCTGGAAGACTGCTGCCAAATGCTTTGAAGTGATGGAGCTCGGCAGAGGCGGAGTCTGAACCGCTGCACATTTTATAAAATGTAGAGGCACGACTCATGTAATTCCTGCATTGCCCTTTCAGCAGCACGATCACACTTCAAAACTAAATTGGACAGCACGCTGAAACCCGCTCCAGTTCGTTACAGGTAAGGGTTACAAGTCCTTCAAATTAACCTTTGAAAATCTTTCTTAATTGAAATAGACATGCTTTTATTTAAAATGATTCTTGTTCACAAATTCATCGTGTAAAGACATGCTGCTGATGGCAACATCATTTACTGAAATTAAATTTGTTGGCAGCGCAAGACTCTTGCGGTGGACAAATTAATTGCATGTTGAAAATGCTGTTTTCACCTGCCACTTGGTCCCTTGTCAAGAAGAACATCTGTATACTTCCTTTGCTTTTAAATTACCGTCCAAGTTAATTGGAGGGTTTCCCACAAATTCACTAACTACTAGTTGTTTTTAGAATGAGCTCATGCAGCCTTTGGATCTTTACAATGAGTTTCAGTGCGCATGTAACGGCCAGCAGTACACCTGCATCACTACTTCAAAATAGTTCCTGCTCGCTGCATAGAGAGGGATGCGGGGGCTAGATGTCACATTTTTTACAACATACAGTGAATATACCAGGAGTAGGTTGCTGTATAGTATAGACATTAAAGTCTTGGAATAAGGCTTTTGAACATTTCCATGCACTGTAAGTTCCCAGAAGAATAGAAACTATTCACACATTTGCCAATAACGAGGCATGTTGTCACGCTGGATGGGGTAAGTTGTCACAACTAAACTTGCCACTGAGCAAACCTTTATACTTAAAAAAAGCAAAAAAATCATAAGTATATTAATTGTTTCAATTATTTTACTACTACTAACAATAATAATAGTAATACAAAGTTATTGGTAATAAAGGTTGCGATACTTATTTTTTTTTACTAAAAATAGTAAACTATAATTCATTTAAAGAAAAAAACATTATTTAAAAAAAATACATTTCTTAAAACAAAACAATATTTATAAATAATAATAATCCAAAATAAAATAATGATTATATATAAAATATATAATAATTATTTAATAATGATAAGCCAAAGTACATTTCTTCATAATAAATATTTATAAATATTTTCTTCCTATATACACACACACACACAATTTATAATAATAGTAACAAATTTATCCAAAAAGTATTTCTCATAAGAAATTAATTCGCTTATTAATATTATTATTATTATAGATTTTAGACAAAAATATTTATTTTAAAAACATGTTTTATTATTAATATAGATTTTAGACCAAAACATTTATTTTAAAAACATGTTTTATTATTATACATTATACAAATTATTATACATTTTGATCAAAAAATGTCATTAATCATCACATAACATCACATTTTTAACATCACATCACGTATTTTATCCCCGAGTGCAGATCTGGTGACAGATGAAGCAGTGTGTGGAATGCACCGCAGCAGCGAGTGGTGTGTGTGTTTTGTGCAGCTGAACAGAATCTGGAGGCAATTCAGCGCACGGCGATAACAGGGCCTTGGCACAGGCTGCGGGCAGGATGTTAGGAGTACTGCCCTGTGCTTCCGGAGTGGGATGGGATCGAGCTTGGGAATGCTGCTGGCCCTCCGTGCCCAGACTCGGGGAAATCAGAGAGGGAGGGATACTGGGTCAGCAGGGGCCCGTCAAGCATCAGGCAGATTCGTTTTACTCAAAGGAATCATCCAACAACATAAAAAGACACAATGTTATTTGAACTGGTGCTTTGGTTGGCAAGAATTCCAGTTTGAATATTCCAAACGAATATAAAGACATTTAAAAATCACAATCACTCATTAAATTTCAAAATTGGCTTAATCCTGACATCGGTTCTGAGCGAATTGGATATGAACCAGACTATGTCTTCAAAGTAATCTATAGTTATTTCAGTTGTGCTTGATATTTGGATTTGGACCTTTAGCACCATTCGTTTAGTTAAATATATAACAAGACACAATCCCTTAGACAGCTCATTTAATACACACTTCACTGCTGCCAGATGTTGAAAAGCAAGGTAATTTGAAGACCGAGTTTCCATAGTGCTGCCTTGAATAATGCAGCAAACATTTTTTGGGATGGAATTATATATATTGGAGCTGGAGTACCACTTAACCAAAGATGATGGACAATTGGCACATGTAGCATTCCCAAGGCGTGAGGTCACAGTAAGACGAAACTGAACTGTCTTTGGGTAGGTCCATCAAAAATGTACAGAGAAGTTTGCAGCTGCGAGGCCGAAATCCCAAATTCCGTTTTGAGATTTATTTCTTGAACGTGTTCCATCGCAACATACTGTTTATCATACGTTATCCAGGCGTCTAGCTGTGGAACAGCTTCGGCGCTGAAGTGCGCGCATGCCAAGTCAGGCCTTTTCCTTACATGGTATAAGCCACTAGGCATGAGACCATCTCCTTCCTGATACATGTGGATCTGTCTGGCCATGATCAATGTCTTGCTGCCCTGGAGATTTGGAATGTGTTTAACTGCAGTTAAGGTTCCTTTTTGAGAAACTTGGTGTCCTGTAGTCCACCTCCTTTGCACTTTCGAAACAATTTGTAAACTCTGAGGAAATATTTTTTACTTGGAAAATTTTTTACATAGCTAAAAGTGGGATCATTCTTACCTTTTTGGGTTGTTTTGCTAAATAAAGAGATGGAATGAATATTATTGCTCAACATTCTCGGTCACAGTTGGCCACCTGTCCAATGGTGTATTTAAACGTTGAAGCTCCTTTAATATTTCTTTGAATATGGCATATTGGAAACAATTGTTTGTGGTCATATGTAAGCACAGATCTGATTATAATCCAAACCAGTTTTATTTGACTCGCACTGCTTGAAGGGGTCTGCTGGAATGCATTAAATAGACAGAAGTCTGCAAATGTTTCCTCTTTGAATGCTGGTGAGAGTTAAAGGAGTCCAAATGCCTGAAGTATTTTAAAAGAATGTATAGTAATGCAGTAATTCAAAGTTTACTTCACCTTCTTCACCATATGTCAAACGTATGCGCACACCAAAGAGTTTTAATAGGGAGTTGATGCTTCTGCTTGCACTGTAAAAGTGATAGAAAATTATAGATCATAATAAATGATGAAAGTAATATATTATAATGTGACAATAGATTACACACAATATAATTAAATGCAATTTACAGTTAAATATCAATCAAATGATAATTTTGTATGTGTGTGTGTGTCTGTGTAAAAAGCTGTTCTTTTAAACTCTATTCATCATAGAGATTCATCAGAAAGATTCCACAAAAATACTAAGCAGCACAGCTGTTTTCAACATTGGTAAAAAAAAATAATAATAAATGTTTCTTGAGCAGAAAATCAGCATATGATTTCTGAAGGATCATGTGACACTGAAGACTGAAGTCATGATGCTGAAAATTCAGCTTTGCATCACAGGAATAAATAATATTTAAAAAAAAAAAATTAAAATACAAAAAAGCAATTTTAACTTGTAATAATATTTTTACAATATTATTGTTTTCACTTTACTTTTTGATTCAGTAAATGCAGCCTTAAATGCCGTCTGAGCATAAGGGACTTTTTTCAAAAAAATAAGTAAGAATTATGGTAAAGACAGGGTGGGACCCCTTTTTTTTAATTTATTGTGTTAAGGGGTGGGACGCTTCAAATTCTAGAGAGCATTTGATTGGACAGAAAGTTTGATGAGAAGCTGAAGGGCAGTGTGATGTCATGAAAATCGTTGATCCATATTAGCGGAAGCTGGAGACTGCAAGTTTTGAATGCTTATATCTTGTAAATGTGAATTTTGTCATTATTTTGGAGCACACTAGCTTATAGATATCATATTCATACTAAAAGCCATAAAACTTCAATTTTGATTTCATGGGGACTTTAAAATTTCAACTATTTTAACAGTGTCTCTATATCCTGTAATTATAAAAAATATATGAAATCTATTACATTTGTTACTATTTCTAGTGGCTAAAAGGTTGTAGCCCTTGGCATAGAATTAGACAAAGACATATGATGGGGTTATTCTGAAACAGAAGGTCTTCTGTTCTGTAAGGGGCACAGGTAATTCAGGAGGAAATGGGCAGGTCAGCGAAAGAAAGAGAAAATGACTCATTTAGATGATCAAGACTCTGAGGACAGTTTGTGCTCCAGTGCCTGCAGGGCTGCACTAAATAATCCCATTTCCCCAAATTCTCAATGCTTCACAGCTGGTGTACAGAAATGAGAGGCATTACACAGAGACTGAAGGGTGACAGAGGGCAAAACTACTGCATGTGGCCTATTTAAGACATCAAGAGTCATGACTAATCACTGATGCATTCTTATCCAAGTGTTTTTGTTACTTTATGTTACCATGATGCATCACGCATTTCATAACTTACTCTATAATATTAGCAATTGTGCATTACTGCAACTATTGAAACTCCCAGTAGTATACAGTACTTGTTTTAAAGATCCAAGTCTTGCACTCTAAACTGAAGCCCATGTTAGTTTCACAGGGTGAGCATCTTTATCCATGTTTGGTTATGCAAGGCCTCACCAGTGAGCAGCAACTCTGTCCTGTTACACACGTCATGGCACAAAAAGCCTTCACATATTTATCGGGTCAGAATTTTACGAGCCATTGGTTCAGTGCATCTCTGGTTGGGAAACCCCTGTCTGTGCATCTGGAGATTGGTGTGGCGGAAGCAGGGGAGTGAAGGGACTCAAGAGGGCTTTATTCACTGCCAATGTACAGCTGCTTCTACTGCTAAGGCCATGTTGTTCTTGATGTGATTTGAGGTTTTGGTGTAATTGCCAGCACTAATGCTAATTGCACATCAAAAAGATGGGTTGAGGAAAAACACAACATGTCGCTGCCTCGGTCTTTGATGGTTTTGATGAATAAAATGACAGGCGTGCCATAAGTTAAATCTTTCATCTTGTCTTCATAAATCCAGAAGTTGTCCAAATAAGCTGTAGAGGAGCAAAAGATCTATGTTCTGGTTTATTGTTTAACTTCAGTGAGTTTTTTAGCTTGTGCATTGACAGGAAGAGTGAGTGGGGGGAGTGGGAAATTACTCCAGATTTGAACCCATGTCACAAATAAAATAATAAAATAAATAAAGATAAA